ATTTTGCTGTTGGCCTCTTATATATACTATACTGTCTATAGACCTACGCAAGTACGGCTCAGAAGAAGCCAAGAATAAGCAAATTGACAATGTGATATACTTCATTCTAGCGTTAAAAGTCACTCTAATAATGTTTATATCAAATAATTAAAACGCATTGAAGTGCCTGGAATAAAATTGAATAGGATGGATGCAAAATTAGGGAATTTTTTTTTAAATAAACGCTTGAACTTGTTTACTGGACGTCTTGTTGAATGCACGCCTGGTTTGTATAACGTGACCGAACATAGGCCCTTACTTGCAGCCAGGAAAGTCAAAAAATAAATAACGAAAACTTTGTTCAAGTGAAGGCCTGTCTTATAAATTTGACCTACACAAGATTTCCTGTCGTGAGAGCAAAAAATAAGATCGTAGTGCACATCAAAATGTAATTTTGTTTTTAGCTGATTGCGTGTTCTTCTCTTCAAATCTATCATTTTAGATGGGTTCTTCTTATTTCACATAGCATAGGTCGACCAGACACAACCTCAATGTCAAACCAGTCGTGCGGTTGGCTTAAATGTAATCACTGATATTGTTTAGGATCTTTATATGGTTTACTCAAAAACACTGCATTGGTCGATGGTCAAAAGCTTCTCTTGAGCGTTTATTAAAGCTCCACAATTTTTGTCTTGCCCTTGGAAGGGGGATAATGTTGTCTTGTGACCTTAAGCGATCGACTTAAGCAACCAGTGGTCATGCATAGGCGCCATTGCTTACAGGTATCGAGCGCCTATGGACTTATTTTTTTTTGTTTAGCTACCTTTTAACGCGAAGATAAGTGCCACACGGACAACGCTCTCTAAGGCAAGCATTCGTTTAGATAGCTCTAGAGATGTTGAATCTAGAAATAAGCACACACATGGTCACTTCTTGTTTGCAGTCATTATTGCTAGGCCCTCTCTAATCACACGCTGTGCAATTTTTCAGGTTTGTATAAATATTGCTTAGACCGCTCATATTAACGGCATTGACAAAGACGCAACCTGAGTCGAAGTATTTGTACGGAGATCATTGCGCTCTGACATTTGTCTATTGTGTTTTTTAATTACGCTTACAATGTCACCAATTTCCATTTTTTGTGGAAATTCTACCAAATTGGGCGAAATCCGTAACTGAAAAATGATCAAACTCACGTTAGCATGTAGTTCACCAATTCCACATAAACACTTTATAAAATACTTACAACCAGTAAGAATGCAAGATATGCTCTTTTTTTATAAAAACTTCGACTTGCTGACATACAGGAGACCAACAATTGTCAGCTTGATCATTCGCGGACCGGGTAAGAAATCCTATAAAACTCATGAGCGAATTGTCAGTGGCTCCACCCATTTGACCTGCTTCCTCTGTATACGTAATTTGGTGGATCTCCTGACAAGTTATTTGCCTAATACGCAAGATATGATGATTAATACATTCCTACAAAAGAGCAAACAATTAACACACAAGACTAAATAATTATGATGTTATCGTTATCTATCCTCTTACCTTATTTACTTTCTACCACCCTCTCTAGTTAGATCCCCTGATATGTCAAAAAAATTTTTACTGTGTTTTCAGAAGAGTTCCCTTGCACTTTTACTTCAACCACCTTTCAATCCATTTATACACAATGAACATCCTTGCACCCCTCAGCAACTTGCGCAGATGTAAGGACATGCTGTTATTAAAAGTTTCTGCTTATTTCGGACTTTAAGATCAATTGTCGACGTAAAAATTACGTGTTTATCAAAATCTACTGCTGTTGGTGCTGAAGCTGGCATTATTTAATACAGATACGGGTATTGTGGCCTGATGCGTAAAACCCAGACACCCTTAAAGCCGTACGAGAGAATACAAGCGAAAGACACTTGCTCAAATTGCGGTGATAGTCGCCGTGTTGATCCCACTGGTAGCCCACGCTTCTTCACTCGAAAAAGATCAAAACTGCTGGCCTCCGGTACTGCCAAAAAAAATCAGTAGCATGCAATTGTGGTGTTTTAAAGCACCAACATGCTTATCTGCAACCCTCTTCAATGCTGTCTAGATGACAACTGGATTGGTCTCATTCTCAAAATTTATCAGCGCTAGATAGACTAGACACCAATGTTGATCAAAATCGTGGACTGTTAGTGATACAAATCGATGACAAAAGGCATGGCCCCAAGTATAGACTATAGTAGATGTCCACGAGCCTAACGAAAAGAAATTGCAGTCTTATCCAGCTATTCCTATCAAAATTGTCGAAGTTTCTTGTCTATTAGATCCCCAGCAGCCTCAAAGCGTTGCTGGTAGCGCCTATGCGCAGCATGCAGACCTGACAAAGAAATTTCACCATCGCCTGTGCGAATATCTGGACAAGCTGCATACATACAATGGTGCGCTTCTTTGCATTCTGCTGCGCAAACCCTGCAAGCTGACCTTCGCAAGTAAGGCAAATTCCTGAATTTAACAAAAGTAAACTACCTGTAACAAATGGATCTAAAGTAATGTACGAGAGATAATGATCACCTTGTCATTCAACAACCTGTTGACACCGTAATCCATTTATTTATAGCGTGATGCGCACTCTCTACACGCGACAACGTCATGTGGCCGTAGTGGCGCTTGCAACAAAGAGAAGCAACTACTATTTTACACTAGTAATTTAAATTTATTTAACGTTTTGCATTGAGGCTATAAGGAAGGTGGAATGCATTGACGATAGTGCATTGCAATCTACTACAGTTTTGTCAGCAACCATTCTGTTCTAAGGTTTTATTAAACTCTTCAGAGGTCTACGATATTTTAATATCTGTTCTCTGATTTGATAAAACAAATTGCATAGTTTCGCATTATGCTAGCAGCAAAAAAGGAAAAGCGCGCTCAGAAAAAGAGTGCTAGTATGGTGGAGCGGGTTGCCGAAACTGTTCGAGGTGACCTCAAACCACTCACTATGCAGGACTGTCGACTGTCGGACGGAGTACCCCGATACCGCTTGTGGACCTTGACTCACCTTGCGTACCCGTCTGCTTGGCGGGTTTTCACTCTTCGGAGGACTCAGTGATGATTGTAGACGTCGGCCACAATGGCGGTCGACCAAGGGGGCCCGAGCGGATATGCTTCAGTCGGGGTCTAATGTAGGCAGCCACTCGATCGAATTGGTCGAGTGTGGTCTTATAACCAGTTGTCTCAGGTGCTAGTGGCGCCTGGCCTCTACTTGTCTCAGGGATGTTAACCGCCGGACCTTTACGTGTCTTCTCCCTTACCACTAGGGTATGGAGACCGCTTCATATAGCGGGCTTGAGTTGGGTGGAGGGGTGCTACTCTACAAACCCACAGACCAATATACTTCCTGGGGTTCTACTTATGCTTGTGTCTTACTGATAACTTTCGATTCGACGGGTGGGCCAAACAGATCCCTGGCCCGGAACAGGATGGTAGACTTACAAGTTTCTTAGCGCACGACACGTCGTGCTACTTAGATCTCAAATTGAGTAGTATTTATTATTGTTCTATCCTTTCAACTCCTTTGCTCTATTTTTGCCTTGCACCTGGGTTCGCTATGATGAGTGGCCAGGAGCCACAAGATCTTGACGGATCAAGTCGACCTATGGGTGACCAGGTCGGCCGAAAGGTGGCCAGGTCGGATTACAGGTGATCGAGGCCCGCCTTGGGCGATCAGGTCGACCGATGGATGGCCAGGGTGATCTATGGGGGATCGAGGTCCACCTTCGGCGTCCATGCCGACCGATGAGTGGTTAAAAACAATCCATATCGGTACCGTTTAACTGGTACCGTCGGTCAGTTTGAACCCATTAGCAGTAACCTTACCCGCTCGTCACGTTTTGACCCAACGGCCGCTCCAGACCAGTGACCCCCAGTTCTCCGGTCTCTTTCCTGGCCGCGAGGTCCCATGCCGTCCGGCTCATCGACCCCTAAGTTAATCATTCATAAAAACCTACTTTAAAACAGCCACCCCTTGCACTTCCTCGACCTTACATCGGTTTGAGCACGAGTATTTCTTATTCATTTAATTCCCGTACGTGTTACCTTATCTCGTGGCCGATATCTTGCCACCGTCCTACCTGTGTGTTCGTAGCGATGTCTTAACCTAGACCCGATTTATCATCCGAGGGTCCAGCCCAACCCCTGCTTCGCCAACACCTTTACCCTCGGCAGAGGTCTCTACCCGAGCGGACCCCGTTGCAGCATCGCCCGTCTTCCTCGGTTCTCCAGAGTCGTCATCGTTAGAAAACAATAATGAGGCCGTTTTGACCACATGGTCGACTTCTCCACCGGTGGAGTCGGCTCCAATTATTTAGGGTGTGGGGTCGCCCCGAGTCGTGACTGCTGTCACTACCGCTTTCGTCGATGTCGATTTGGCTCCAACGAGGGACCTCGTCGGTGGCCGTGCAACCATGAGCGGTCCACCTGTTAAAGTTGCGCCTTTGTCTTGCTGGGTCGAGTCATGTGAGAGTGGAATGGCCTTGATGCCTCCTTCATCACATTACTGGTCGCCAAGATGTGAGCGCTTGGAGCGGAAGTTAAATGACTCCGGCGCTCTCGTGTCGCAGCTTTACGAGTAGCTGGAGCATGGAATGGCGCTGACCAACCACTGACGGCGGCAAGTCAAAGGTCGACTTGCCGCCATCAAAATTATGAGTGACTGAGCTCCACCACGAGGGGGGACATCCTCGTGGCGGAGCTCAGTCACTCATAATTTTCGATCGAACATCTAAAGGGTAGCAGTATTGATGTTCAAGGAACGTCAAAAGACTCGACCGAACTATCCACCCTCTGATTCCGTAGTCGTAAGCGGCCTGTAGGTAGATCTCCTTGCATCCCGTATCAAATGGCTAATCGGGCGAAGGTGAGCGCGCCGGACGCGCTGACGGTAAGGAACACGGTTTACTAGATCTCCGATGGAGCTGTATCGCCGATCAACCCGATGTCGGCTGAAGACTGCGTCTCTTCTTTTCCGTCCAGCTATGACTCCCATGCCGAAGGCCCCGACCCCTCGGTCTTTTATCGAGGTCATGTTCAGGTCGTCCGAGTCCGAAGCCGAGCCGCCACCTCGGAAGGTGTTGACCACCCAGCGGCTCGCAGCTCTCTGACGCCAGCAGACTAGTACTCGCTTCCGCAAGAGGCCATTTCCCAGGTTCGACTCAAGCGAAGGTATTCACCGCCAGTGAAGTGGCGGCATGGTCGGTCGGCCCTGTCATCTCCTGGTCAATCGTCACCGTGACACCTGGCGACCTGTCCGACCAAGTGGAGATGTCCTGGGTTCGTTCGGTTTACCAGACTAGAATCTAGATCATCCAGCGAAATGTAAATCTTTGTTGGTCGCTCCTCTCATGGTCAGTAGCCTGATGCCTACGAAGCCTTGGTTGACGGCCACTGTCCCTCTTCCTCCAGTGTTTTTCAAGGAGGTTTGGTCGGCTGGTTCGCTAACCTGGCTGTAGCGTACACGACCTTTGAGACCAAACACTCCAGGCGCTCTAAGAGGCTAACCACTTCCTCTGGATCTTGAAGGAGACCCCCCGCACCAGCTCCTTCTTTGCTTCCTACTACAACGCCCGGAAGGAATGGCGGAGCAGGGCATCGTTGGCTCTGCGTGAAATCTTCGCTCGGATCTAATCAGATATGGGTGCTTATCGATGTGAAATCGACAGCTTTCAGGACCCTTTCTTCCGATGCTTGTCTCGCCCTTGCCTTGTTATCTATTGGTTCCCTATGTGTGTAAAGGGGTCGGACCTAGCCGACCTATTGGCCGCTCTTCATCGCTCGGACTCTACGTGGCCATGGATCTCCCAGTACCTACTCGCGTCTGAGACCCACACAGGAACCAAATTTGGCCCGCGTTCAGTAAAAGTTCGCCCCTCCTATGTAGGCGTATACACTTAAAACAATATTTTTTTCAAATTAGTTTATTTTTTCACATAGCCTGCTCATTGAATGTTAATTACTATACCATATCATTTTTATCATCCAGCGTTGTAATACCTGGGCACCCATGGAAAGCTATGACCAACTCCAGATAAACCAAGATATGCCTTGGGCCACGCCTTGCTATTTCAATTGATTAATGGTCGACTCCCACATAGCCCTAGTTTACCTTAAAACTTTGGTCGCTCACGGAAGTCATGGCCGATCCACAGACGACCGGGCCGACCAGCAGACGACCGATCTTCTCCACTGCGACTAGTCTTCGTGACTCTACATAACCTCAAACCATTTGAAAATTATCAATTGTTCCAGCTTTCAAACTATCTCAAAAAAGCTTAACAATTCAAATCCACTTCGTTAGCCCATGAGGGTTCTACGAAACCCTTTTAACGGATTAAGAACTCGCGCCGTTGCCAACCGTATCGCGTCTTCTTTTTTCCACGGCTTTCTAAAAGCTCTTCCACTTCGTATTTGTCTTCCTAGAGTTCACGCGTCCAGCTAACTTCTCGAAAACAAACATTCTTTAAATTTGATCCGGTCGGCCTCGTCCACAGTCAGCTGGTTATCGGGGCGATCAGACTCTCTTTAAATCTTTTTATCTTGGATATGTATACGATCGGGAATAATCTGTACTTTGTATCTCTTACTTCCAGCCGAGCAGCATAATCACCGACCAATCCTAAAACTTGGAACGGACCATGCCAGAGATGAGCTTATTTCTTGGCGTACCCTTCCTTCACACGATCTAGGTAGAGCCACACATAAATATCTGGCCGAGTCTTTTAACCGATTAGTTGTTCATCATAAGTTGTCACCCGGGCTTAACAATCCGACCGCAAAAACTCGTTCACCTGTTACATTCACGCTGGTAGTGACTCTGGATGTGGTACCTTCATCTTCGAGCTCCCAAGTTCTTGTATCAGGTGTTCACCACTGGCAACGTTGCTTCCAGGGTGGTTCTAGCGTCCGACCCGTAGGCCAAGGAGCGGTATCTCTTTTCACACCCTATCGTGTGCAGTGTCGAGTGCGAACATAAGACATTCTGCGTGTTCGTCCCAATCCTGCTGCGCCACATTTTAGACTTACATCTTGATTTGGCCATTCTATCTGCGGTACCGTTTGCCTGGGGTCGGTATGCCATTGTCGCCCGTTGACGCTGACCACCATGCGATTGAACGCTCGAAAGAAGTCCGACATGAAACCTGGTCCTCGATCATGGCGAATTACCTCGCTGGCTTTAAAACGCCGAAAAACACACTCTTCATACCCTTCGGCTACAGTCTGAGCAGTTAGCGAAGCACTTGCCTTGGACATCACATACCCAGTGAATAGGTCGATTCAAATTATTAGCTCAGCGTTTCCCTTATGTGACTTGGGCAACGAGGGGATATGGTCCATATCTATGACTTGGAAAGAGTAGTTCGCCTCGACGTTGCCTCGGGTTGTCCCTTAAAGGATAGCCCCCCCCCTTTTTCCGTCCCGCGTTTTACACATAATTCTACATATCTCTATACACTTTGAAACAATCCTCTCCAATGGCAAAACCGGCGAATTCGATAGTAGGTTCGAGCGACCCCTTGGTGACCACTCTCTAGACTGGCGTGGTAGTGGTGTAATACGTCAATCTGGAGGGCATCGAGAATCACTAGACGGGCGGTCATTTCTCGGTCACCCTTGTCGGTCTTGTGGATGGGACAATATACCAGCTATCCTTCTTCGCTGACTTCATAATCTCTGGCCATTTTGCTGCATGACTGTACCGATTCGTTCGATCAACCGTCTAGGTCGCCTTTTAAATATGCCTTCAAAACCATTTATTCAGCTCTCCCCCTCTTCAGCCTTCCGGATACGTTCCACTCGCAGATGTTGTACCATCTCTTCTAGCATCATTTCGCTAGATTTTTTTATATGTGGCCTTGATCGGGTCACCGCGAATACTGTAACCATTCGGTTCTCGTCTTCGGGGACTAACAGCTCTGGCAGTCGGTTGATCACTTCCAAACCTAGCCACTCTTTCCTCGGTACTGACTCGACCCCTCCTTGTCTGTGTAATGCTTCACTTGCCAGATGGTCCGCACTCCGGTAATAATCGTGCTTTACATGAAGTATCTCATGGGAGGTCCACGAATAAAGCTTGTTTAGAGCTCTTGATCGCAACAGCGACAACCCTGAAGCCTCGCCCTCGACTTTTCCGCGCATCTACCGGACAATCAGATTTGAGTCTACACAGATTAATAGCCGCCGTCGATTTTAAAGGTCCTAGCAACTCCAAACCCAGCAACCTGTCTTCGCGTTTGACTTCAATCATCGATTGTGGATACCTTGTTATATCTTGAGGCTGTGCTTACAACTGGCCATGTAGGCTGTCTTTACACGACAGCGCTACAAGCTCCTCCTTCTTGTTTCACACGAGCCGATCCGTCAAAACTCAGTACATAAAGATTCTCGTCTCTTTCCAAAGTGAGAGTAAGTAGGTCAATCCGTGAGCGAATGTAGGTCAATGTTTTTTTCCGCATGTTTAGTGGGTGCGATAGCAGATAAGGTCGATTCTACACTCTAGCGGGGGCGGGGGTAATACTGGCTGCTAAATCCCTTAGAAACTGGTCTTCGTCTTTTTTTCACCTCACAATCTCTAACATCCACTGTGACAAGAAAGCGAACCAATTTCTCAAACTCCCCTGCAATCCAGAGGACCTGAATGACTCGGCAAACGTCGAGTGTCTCGTTTATACTTTGAGAGGTCGAATGACCAACATCGTCAAACAAGTTTCCATCACTTTATAACAGCGCTGCCACTTCTTTCTTCACGGTACCGTGATTCAACTCGTTGACTTTGAGTGTCCGGCTTGTGAAGGTACCTGGCAAAAATATGCCTTCATGGTCCCGCACCAACAATACCGAGATGGCTTGTTTGCTCGCGTGGACAATGATTACCGCTCTTTCAACAGGTCGAAATGTCGCAAAATAGGCGCTGTATCAATAAAAAATTTAAGCACAGCACATCTTTGCATTGCCACGCGTCAAAGTCTACCTCTCTCAGCTCGTATATGATCGACGCGAAGATCGCTTAATCCTCTATAAACCTGCTGTAGTAATTCAGAATTCCGAAGAACAACTGCATGTCCTTGAACTTTATTGGTAAGGTTAAAACGACTACAGCTTGGAGGTCCTTGGGGTGGGCTTCCAATGCTTCCTTGGGTACCTGGTGGCCGAGGTGTTCGACCCTTTAAATTCCCCAAGAAGGCCGACTGCACTGATCGACAATTTCCAGTAGTCTCATACCTCATATAAACGTTCCACTTGTTCGCATAACGCATTTCAAGATTCGGCGGGTATAAGTATGCCACCTATGCACGACCGTGGCCTGACTCTTTGCCTGGTTTTCCCTACGCAAACAAATATTTTGGCTCATCCAATTTAGTCCCTGGAGGGACACTTAAGAACCTGTATATTGCGCTGTCCGGAAGTCGCTGGTAGATCTGTGGTGCATTCTTGAGTCCGCAAGAAATCCAGAGCCATTCGAACAGTCTCAACGGTATTAAAAAGTCTAGAATCAACCTTGCCCTCTCCGGCATGGTGAATACCCAGAAATTACTTGCCACATCAAAAGATCAGTACCACAACGCACTGTCCAAGTCTTCCAGGAGATCGTTAATCAGTGGCATGGGGTAGACCATGAGTTAAGTCAAGTCGTTTACCCACCGGTAGTCAATGCCCAACCTGATGTCCACCCCGTTCTTCTTTACGATGATCACTATTGGGCTGGCCCACGGCGAGGTGGACGGTAGGATAATCTTCTTTGACAGTAGACCATTGATTATCTTTCAGCCAACTTTTATTTGAACTGAGTGGCTACCTTTCGCAAGGGGTGTGCAATCGGTTTTGCATTTCCCACGTCGATATCGCATATGGCACCACGAGCGGCTGGTGACAAGGCGTTGCCTTTTCCGATTAGCAAAAGTCGCTTCTTCCATGTGTACTGTTTCAATTGATCCACCTCTTCAGGCGTGTTCCCATCCGAATCGGGATCTATTTGTCCTTCAACTCGATGCCTTCGGGCCAGGGGTCTGCTTCTGGTATTGCCGCCTATCCTTGACTGATTTCTTCAGCCTAGAGTTCTCCACTCTAAAAGTGCACACTAATTCATCGGCTTGTGCTAGGTATTCGT